AGTTTGTAGGTGTTTTTTGTATAATGGATATGGTATTGATGCGACAGAATTTCACCTTTGGAATCTTGTAGTTCTATTAGAACTTTAATTTGGAGTTGAATATTAAAGGGACTAGAAATTAGAGGATGTGGCGGTTTTTAATGGACAAAACTTAATGATCTGTTATTGGCTGGCTTCACTTCTTTTAAGAACATTTTAAATGAGGTTTATGTTAAAATAATTAAGATCAAATACAAAAAGCAGGCTATAATTCTAAATGACCTATTTATTATAAGTGCTTTGTCTTAATCTAAATACAAATAAAGTATATATATGTTAAACTGAAAGTACTATTCTACCCTTAATAAATAAAACTATATAAATATTATTTAACATCTCCCTTCAAACTCAAGAAGTGATAGCTATAAGCATCGAGAGTTTGCTAACCAGAAAATGAAAATGACAGATGGAATACGCCTTGGTAAAGAAATTTGCAAGGAAGAAAGAACAAAAGGCAAAGCAATGGTGTTATGCTTGAGATGATGACGAGTAAGATGACAATCGATCTTAATGTGTTTAGTTAGCTCATGAAAAACCGAGTTGTGAGCAATCTGAATAGAACTCTAGTTGTCACAATACATAGAAGTAGGATGAGAAAAGAAAATTCTTATATCAGTAAGTAACCAACATAATCAATAATCTTTTTGGAAATAGATGTCATGGCACGATATTCTACTTCGGTGGATAATTGAGAAATAATGGATTGTTTCTTGCTCTTCCAAGAAATAAGAGAATCATATAAAAAGATACAAAACCCGGTAATAGACTTGCAATCTGTGAAATCACTACCATGATCAGCATTAAAGTATGCACGCAATTCCAAAGAAGAGGTGGATGAAAGTAAAAGACTCTAAAAAATCGTACCTCAAAGATATCGTAAAATACGAAGAGTAGCTGCGTGGTGAATAGTAGTAAGAGAAGTAACAGACTGACTAACAACATGAACAATATATACAATATTTGGATGAGTAATAGTGAGATATACCAAACTCCCAATAATAGTACGATATAAAGTAGGATCTATCAAAAGTAAACCATCATAAGAAGAGTACCTTGCGTTAACCTTAATAGGAGTATCTACAGTTTTGCTATCAATAAGTTTAGCCTACTTAAGAATATCTGCAACATATTTTAACTAGGAAAGAAGGTAACCTCTAGGTGAGTATGCTACCTCAATACCTAGGAAATATCAAAGATAACCCAAATCCTTCATTTCAAATCATCTAGCTAACTTTGTCTTCAAAATTGAAATACCATCAATGTCATCACTAGTAATAATCATGTCATAAACATATAAAGAAAAAATGATACAACCTGCATTAATGCAATTAATAAAAAGAGCAGAATCATGTCTGCTAGAAATAAAGTTAAGAGATGAGATCATAATAGAGAATTTCTCAAACCAAGTATGAGGTGCTTATTTGAGACCATATAATGCTTTCTTAAGCTTACAAACATATCCAAAGTTATGTGAAATACCAGGAGGGGGTGCCATATAAACTTCTTCTTAAAGATATCAATTTAAGAAGATATTTTTAACATTAAGCTGAGAAATATGCCATTGATGAATCGAAGCTACGACAATAAGAGTATGAATAATAGTCATTTTTAGAACTGGGAAAAATATCTCTTCATAGTCTATACCATATTGTTGAGAGTATCCTTTTACAACTAGTCTAGCTTTGTATCACTAAATAGACCCATCAAAATTAGTTTTGATCTTATACACCCAACGACAACTAACAACACTCTTACTAGGAGGTAAAGGAATCAAATCTCAAGTATTTGTCTTATGCAAAGCAGAAAGTTTCTCATCCATAGCTTACTGCCAAAACGAATCAAGAATTGTCTCTTTATAGAAAGAGGGCTCAAAGAGACAATGAATAGAAACTAAAAAGAAAGTAAAATATGAAGAATAACAAAAATAAGCAAAATCTGGTAGTTTTGTGGACTTATGAATACTGATGGACTGACGTAGAGGTGGATCCATAATTTCAGATGAAGCTTGAGGGGCTGTAAATGAGAATAGAGCTTCAAGTGTGCCAAAGAGTAAAGTACTAATACTTGCAGAGTTATGAGTACAAATTAATTGAACATGGAGAGATGTATCATTACTAGAATCCTCAGAAAAGGGATTTATATGAATAAGATCAGATTTAGTCAGGCTAGGAGTAGTAGATAGAATAGAAAAGAAAGGTATATACTCAAGTAAGACAATATAACGAGACACATAAAGTTTCTGAGTTATTGAATTAAAATAATGATACCCTTTTTTACCATCACCAAAACTTAGAAAGACACAAATAACGGATCGAGAGGATAGCTTATTGCATTCTATATGAGGATGAAGAATGAAACAAGTACAACCAAATACTCTAAATAAGAAATAATTAGGGACATACCCTTATAACTTTTCAAAAGGAGATAAACCCGAACTATGAGAAGATGAAATCGTATTAATCAAACTTACAGTAGTAAGAATAGTTTCTCCCCAAAACTCATTTGGAACAAAAGTAGACAACAAGAAAGAATGAGTAGTTTCGATAATGTGCCTATATTTTCTTTTAGCAACGCCATTTTGCTTAGGAGTATCTATACATGAAGTTTGGTGAATGATTCCATTTAAGGCAAGCAATTGGAAAATTTTATTAAAGGTGTATTCCCCACCTAGATCACACCTAAAGCATTTGATCACAACAGAATATTGAGTTTTAATAAGAGCTCAAAAAGCTGCATATATCTCAAAGAATTTATAAAAATATTTCATTAAATAAACCTAACAATAACGAGTATGATCATCAATAAAAGAAACATAATATCAAGACTCTCTTTTTATGGCAATAGAAGAAGGTCCCCATACATCAAAATCAATCAAATTAAATGGCGAAAAAGAAACAGAGATACTTTGATTAAAAGATAAAGTGAAAAATTTTGCCAATTTACATCCACTACAATCAGAAAAGTCACAAGTTTTTAAATTACCTAAAGCTCCCGTGGATGCCAAAAATCTCAAACAAGAAGATGAAACATGACCTAGACGGGAATGCCATAAATAAAAACTAACTCAAATAAAAGAAAGACAAATTAATAGTAGTAGCAGCAGCGACATCGACAATAACTGATACTTTTAACTCATTTAAAATATATAGTCCATTCTCCCTATGACTTATTCTAATCAGCTTCTAAGATTGTAGATCCTGTATATAACAAAAAGAACTAGAAAACATGACTAAATAATCACCAGAATCACACATTTGACCAATAAATGCAAGATTCAATTTAAGTTTTGGAATAAGATAAACATTAGGGAGAGACAAGTGAGGTATGACAACATAACCAACACCTACTAAGGGTATATGAGTGCCATCAACAATCATAACAGAAATGAAAGACGAAGGGAACATAAAGGTAAAAGATGAGGAATCTGGAGACATATGATGGGAAGAACCAGAATCCATAATCCATTCAGATTGTAACATACCTAAGAAACTATGAGGCAATTGACCTATAGAAGAAGCGAACATTGCTTGTGTCTATAAAGAGAGAAACTTCTAAAATTGCTTAGCCAAAGTATTAAGATAAGTAATAGAGTTGGGGGAAGCTACTGCTACGGTATTGTGGTATGGTAATTTATAACCCTGAGATGGTCTATGAGCATTAGATTGTGACTGACTGTTAGGCTTCCAAACTTAATTCTGATGTTTCAACTTAGGACATTTAGCCTTCCAATGATCTTTCTACTTATAGAAACTGCACTCATCGAAGCCAACCCTTGTGCAAGACTTGTTCTGATGATTAGAGAATGGTTTAGAAGGTACTGTTAGTATAGAAGGATTTGAAATAGAAAGAATTTTCTTTTCAGTATAAGACTGAAGACATATTTCTTTATCCAATAACTTACTGACAATAGAGACAACAGAAGGTAGTAGAGAACGATGTGGAATTAAACCTCTAAGTTCTTCGAAATCACTGCGAAGTGGTGTTAAAAATTGTACCAATCATTACTGTTCTCTACGCTCAATATAGGCACCACATGCTTTTAATTTTGCTAATTCTATAAAAGCCAATTGATCCCAAAAATCTGTCATAGTAGAATAAAACTCTTAAATACTTATATTCTTTCGATAAAAAGCTTATATGTCATTTTCTAATTGATAATGTGGAATTAAACCTTTGTAGATGATCCCAAACCTCTTTTGCTATCTCATACTTCAATTGCGTAAATATCGAATGCTCAATAGAATTGTTGATCCAAGTAATGATCTTTGCATTATTTGCTTCTCATGTATCTATCAAAATAGTATCTCACTCCTCAATATTCTTAGGTATCATATAAGTTCCACTAACATACCCCTACATCTTCTTACCCTTAAGAAAATTTCTCATTACATAACTCCAATATGAATAATTCTTTCCATCCAACCTTATATTCACAGACTAAAGTAAATCATCTCTTTCAGTAGCCATACGAAATAGTCACGGAGAACCAAAATGCAAAAACAACGAAAAACAAAAATATCAAATTGCAGAAACTAAATAAAGATTGCAGAAACTAAACAAATATCTTCTTGATGAAATATCAAAATAATTATAGAAATTAAATGCAAATACCAAATTGCAGAAACTGAAGGGAAGTTGAAATACCATAACATACACAAATAATTGAAATATCAAAATAATTGCAAAAACTAAATACAAATAAGTTGAATCTGCGAAGCTGTATTAGAGATTAAGTCTCGTTTGATAAAACCAGTTCTAATATCATACTAAAATAATTAAGATCAAACACAAAAAAAAAAACTAAAATTTTGAATAATCTGTTTATTATGAGCGTTTAGTCTTAATCTAAATACAAATAAAATACATATAAATTAACTAAAAATAACATTTTACTTTTAATAAATAAAATTATATAAATATTATTTACCAATCTAGAATCTAGTCTCTCTGTCTGTCTTTTCCTGTAACTATCACATGATGGGATTCTTTTCTCGTTGAAGTATCATTTTTCATTATCATCCTTTAAATTTTTTAGTCGTGATCAAGATGGTTTATCGTCTCATTCTGGTTGGACAGCACCCTCAGGATAAACCTGCAACGACAAAAAAAAACCTGTAAGCATCAAATTCTTGTATAGAAATTTGAAATGCATTTGTGCTCGTACAGGAAACGTGTGCTTCCCAGACGTAGCATAGCACCAATAGTCCTACTCTTGAACATGATGTACTTTTTCCTTCTCAGGAGTAAAGAAACCAGAATACCTGAGTATTTTTCTCTTCACTGAAGCTTACAGTTCTAACCTTCAACTCCCCTCTGCTGGTAGTCAGCTCGTCAAATATCTCAGCATCACACATCTCCACTTCCCCTTCCTCGTTTCCAAGAACATGTGCTTCTCTTTCCTGATAGAATGCCACAGAATTTAGTATCAACTCGACGAAAACTACGAAGTATCAGAAGACATCTTGATAGATCTGGAGAATAATATACCTTGAAAGAGAGGCTGAGAGACAGTCGTTGGGTTCCGGTGATCTCCTCATACTCAGCTGCATCTAGTTCCCGCAAATGATTTGGACAGAACAACTTAGGAAGGATGTGTTGTCTTATGCTGATGAGAACAAAGAACGGCAAAGGGAACAAGATTCCAGCTATCGGAATCCATGTCACACCATAACAGAATAGGAAATACACGAATTGGAAGATTGTAAATATGGCAATGTATTTGAATGGAACTGATTCCACAAAAGAAGCATGAACCCCCTCCAAGACCCTGCCAAAAAATGAATTTCAGGCACAGATGTAACTGGTAAATCATAGGCAGCTAATAACAATACATGTCAGAATGATGAAGTAGTATTTACCTGCAATCAGGAAGTTTCTAAAAACAATTAACATTTATAATGAATTTATTATCTTGAAGGAAGTACAGTTTTATTCTTTTACCCCAAAAATATAAGTTTTCCGAAATGCTGAGAAAAAATAGAACAATTTTGGTTCGATCTAGTTTTTTAGATTCCATAAAACAAAATTTGAGAAAACTGTTCTCTAATTCTAAAATGCTAGTTGAATTGTTAACTCAGAATGACAAAGAACTTACTTGTAGCGTCGGCCAGGTGTAACGAAGAGAAGTAGCATTCTTTCCCAGAACTGGTTCCCAGGGAGACTGTCGATTGCCATGTAAGCAAAATATCCCCAAAGGACTGATGTAGGTATCAACTTTATTGCAGGCACAGCACTCACTGATGCTGCCACAAGTAGTGACTGCAGAAAATTGCTTACTCTCTGCTCATTAACTCGGACAGGCAAGTAGGCATCAATGTGCTTCTCAGGATCAAATTTATCCTTTGGATTTTCTCCTTTCATGACTGCCTCCTTCAGGGCTTCCAGCTCTCTAACTACTGTAGTCTGCATATCAGAAAATCATGGTGTTGGCATTAATGTGCTGAGAGGATTTGGGAACTTTACCATCTTCCTGGAGACAAACTAATGTTCTTAGAATTTGTAAACATACAACTTGTACAAGTCATTTGTAAGAAAATGCTCATGTTTTTGGGTGTAGGAGGCATTACAATGTTATTTTCAACACGATGCTTAAGTTTGTACTGATCAAAGAACTTACAATTCGACTGCTGTCCATTTCAATGAACACATCCTGCATCATGCCATAGATTTCAGAGTTGCTAGCTTTCTGCTTGATGCTTTCTTTGGCACTTTCCACCATCTTCCTTCGAATCAACTGTAAATGATCAAGCAGATCGTATAAGCATCTAGAGGCTGCTCATCTAATTACCTTAAGAAGTTCTCCTTCGAGATTCTGTAATCTGACCTGTCTTTTGAGGACAGCAAGGCTCTTAGTATGCATAGGAGACTGTGGTAGAACACCATTAGAAGGAGGTAGCCCAAGTATTCCACAAAGCAAAGTCTGAAACCAATCAGTCGACAGTAGAATATTAAGTTTTCAAGAAACATAACGGAAAGAAAAGCCAGCTTTAACATATGTGGATGGTGTGTACCATAAAGCTCAGCAACAAGATGTCATAATGATACGCAGAAGGATTTTTAAGATTGAACTCCTTTTGTTGTGCCATCTGGGATGCAACACTGTGGTCAAAAAAGTAGAGCCCTGCTATCATCACAGCAGGAACAAAGGCAGCAAAGATATATGCTGGGGGGACATTCCCCATATCCTGTAATTTGATGCGACAATAGATATTAGCTGCAAGTGTCTAGAAGCAGACAAAACGGTCATGCACAAAACAAAGTAAATAAAACTTGGAAATTCAAATCAACTTTTGGTTACCTTGATGACAGTCCAGTGATGTAAGGATGCAGATTCCCATGGAAGAGGGCTAAAAAGTTTTCTGGGAACCCCAGAAGGAACTTTGCTTGGTATACTAAATGAAAGTGCTGTCCACACCACAACCATTAAAGGAACACCATAGTCTGCAATAAAACTTCTAAACCAACCTGGAACAACATCGTGCAACAATTTCAAATTCCTTGTGTTCACGTATTAATTTCTAACCAAAATGCAAAATTGTTAAAGATTGCTTCACAAACCTGTGCCATACCACCATGCTCTTGCCCTTCTACTTTTTAATGCAGTATAAAGAAGGCCAAAAGTGAATATGATACCCAGAAGTCCATTAGTGTAAAGCCACTGAAATTGATACTTATCTAGCTTCGGGTCTTCAGCTTTGGGAATTTCAAACTCGCTGACCATGCCCTGTGATCCAAACATTGTGCAACATATTTTAGTAGCATCACCCTCATCAAGTTGCTATTCACTCACTCAAACAATTTTTTTTTGTATTGATTGTACTCACCTTGATAGCCTCTTGCATGAACAAAACAGCAATCAACATGCCAAAAAGTTCGCCTGCTACTCGAGTAAACCGATTGATTATAGCACACGCATTGAATATTGCAAGAAGGAACAGCAAAAGAGCTGTCCAGACGCAAACCCTGCGGCGGTCACCAGAAAAATGAATGCATCAAAAAACCCAGATATGAGAAACAATTTTAAGCATTTAACAAAACAAATTTCCTATACCATCCAGCCCACGCCAAGAATAGTTTTTGCCCTAATTCTTCCCTTCCTTTGGCAAATTTGTACAGATAAGTGTACATTAAAACAGTGGGTTCTGCAACTCCTAATATTAATAGAGGTTGCCCACCAAGTATTGAGTGTATGATGCCACAAAGAGCAGTAGAAGCTAAAGTTTCCACTGTGCTCAAGCTTCCATCTACAAACAGAAAATTATAGAAATTACATTACTTTCGAACTCCTTAAATGCAATCATGGACCTTAGATTAAGATAGAAAATTGCAGCTAATAGTGCAAGGAGATTAAGTTAAGAAGAAATCAAATATATCCTTAGGATTTCATTTTATTGGTTTACCTTCTATGCACCATGCTGCAATATATTTGAAGGTGTATAAGAGTGGTAGTGGTTACTTTTCAAAATGTTTTTTATTTAAAAATACATTAAATTTTTTTTTTTATTTTCTAAAAAATATTTTTGATATCAATATATCAAACTATATAAAATAAAAAAAAAAATTAAATTTAAGCTAAAAAAAAACACCAAACGGTGACTCATTCCTGTATTCTATCAGAGGCAAAATAATGTTGTGCTTTTGAGGATTACCATTTACTTTCCTAGTCTTTCACTGTCTGAAGTTAAAAAAAGGGAAGCACTACAATTTCTACAAGTGAGAATATCCACCTTTTGCTGGGTTATACTTTTCTAAAGAAGAGTGATTAGGAGAACTTGAGGAGGAGAGGAAGTAGCAACCTGTATCTCTTCTAAGTTGCTCGCCGAAGGCAATAACAGGAAGGGCTGAAGCGAAGAAGATATACGTAGTTGGTGCCAGTATACTGTCAGAAAAGTTAGAAAGAAAATTTAGATAAAATTTCAAAGACAGGATGGGAATATTATGCTACTCGAGTTGAGTAATAGGTACCCGAATCCAGAAAGAATGCCTGCAACCCAATCTTGTTTATAGCAGGCTGCTCTTCCTCTAACATCGTTTAGGATGCCTCTAAACGGAGTTCTAATGTGCTCCATCTCTGAATTAAAAGGTATTATTAGTATCAGATAGGAAAAAAAAGATACTGAAGACGAATCAACTCAAAAAAGAGAAGGGAAAAAAAAAAAAAGTGGTGTGGGTGAACGAGGAAATCTTGACAACAAAAAAAGAAAGAAGATAATCTCTTGCACTTCCAAGCCGAGGTGATACCATTCAGGAGGATTGATCGACAAAAATCTTACTGCTTTTTCTTACAAAGAAGGAAATCAAGAAAAGAAAAGAAATATAGTTTTGTTGCTTTGTCCTCCATGTTATCAGCATCCAACCACAGATTTTGTTACCGAAACAACCAGACGTTCGCTTTTCATTTTTTCACAGACAGGGAACAGAAAAGGAAAAGGAAGCCAGGAAGCAGAAATTAAACAAGGTTACGTGAAAACCAGAACAATCAAGTCTTGAACATGCAGCCAAGAAGTGAACAAGAAACGCTCAGGTTAGCGCAGAAATGTGCGAGTTTGTATGAGTAAAATGGTAGTGCTGAAAGAGAGATTCAGAGAAAGAAATACCAGAGAGAATGCTTGCTGTCTTTTCCTTCCAAATAGGAAAGTTCTGCAG